GTCAGCAGCAAACTGGTTGATCCACTCTGAGAAGGTGCTATTTAAGATACTGAGCTGAATACAGCACCTCAGACTGAGGAAGTCCTCAGGATGAGAGACGAAACGTTTCTACATTTTTTTTTTGTTTTGCTTTGTTTTGTGTTTTGAATGTCCAGAGGACCAGATTGAACTTTTTTAGGTTTTTCTACCTGAATTATTGAACAGCATCAGGATAGTTTATTCTTCTCTTTTGTAGCCTGCAAGAAAATCTTCCACTGTCCAAGGTCTTCTTCATGAGAATGATTGAAATCGAGAAGGAACAGGTTCGTAGAATCAGCCACACTGAGACAAAGTGTCATTCGTCCATTTGAATACCTCCGTTTTTCTTTAGATGAAGAGAAATGTCAGAAACAGACAAGATAATTATCCTTTCCCCTCAGGAGAATCCAAAGATGAATAATCTCAGAAACTTTTACGAGCGGGCGCTGCAGGAGTTTGGCACCTCAGATGAAGGTGGGTGGAACTTCCATGTCTTTCAGAAAGAAATCCAACATTAAAGATTCATGTTGGCTGAAGCTTTTATTTAATTATACACTAGTCCTGCGCTACTTCACAGTTAGTTTTTTGTGGACTCGCCCTATCGCGGTTTTTCAAAATAAGATTGGACATGACACATAATTGGCTGATTGGTAGATGAGCCGCACGATTTTTTTATTTAAAATAAATGTTAAATTATTTAGTACCTGCTGCTCCTTTCTGCAGCCCACAGCTGCAGAAAAAGCTTCATGCTACAGCTGATCAGCTGATCTTCGTGCAGAGTGGAGAAGTGGGCGTGGCCAAGAGTTCTTGCAGGTGGCAGAGTTGAAGTCATGACGTTCTGTGCTCTGCAGCTTCCGTCGACTACAGAGCTGGTTTTAGAGCCAAAGACAAAATGTTAACTCTCATGTTTCTCCTCATGGCAAAGATCTGTGGCTGCAGTACATCCAGGAGGAGCTGGGGCCCTGGGGCCAGCCGGAGAACTGTGGAAAGATCCACTGGAGGGCCATGAAGTTCCTGGAGGGGCAGAGCGCAGAGAGCTTCACCTCCAAGCACGCCCTGTTCCAGAGCGGACGCCTGTGATGGACCTGGAGGAGCTGAGACCACGACTCCTCCGGGCCGTCACATTTAAAGTTGGTCCAAAAGAGCCCCTTTCTTCTTCCTAAAGGTTTGAAGGCCCCTCAGCGCCTGCACGTGTGCATGAGGAGCACGTCATGGGAATGGTTTGGAACGATCTGAACTCTGAGTCTGTTTCATATTAAAAGAGTTTTTCATCCCGAGTGTGTGTTCTGATCTGGAAACAGCTGGACGAGCCGAAACATGAGCGGTTTACAAAGTTGGGGCTCGGGGCCGCACTGTGGGTCATGAAACACCAGGAGGGGTCCTCCATAAGATTTTAAATAACATGCTTGGGACCAGAACCTTCATCTGAGGTGGTTGAAGCGCCGTCACAGTTTGTCACGTGTCTTTTTACCAGCAGCGACGCTGTGAGGGCTAAACATCCAGATGTTACGACGTTCTACACAACAAGAACCACGACAACGTTCTCGCTCACGTTCAAGACCAAATAAAAAGTGCACCTTGATCAGAAACGTGTCGTTTAGTTCGAACGACGTTTTCTTAGCTCTTCGTTGTCGTCGGAGTACAGAGCGTCATAAAAGTGCACACACGAAGCCATTCAAGTAAAATCCTCCCAAGATGTCTGCCTGCTGCCTCACGGAGCAGCTCCTCCGCCGCCGCTCCTCAGAGCTTCCTGAACAGGACGTAGGTGAAGAGAGCCAGCACGCCGGCCGACAGCAGCCCGATGGTGCACTGGTGGATGGACACGATGTTCTCCAGGGCGTGGACGCGCCCCTCCATGGCGTTGGTTTGGATGGAGGCCCCGATGGTCCACACCGCATCCACCACCGCCTTCACCGTGGGAGAGACCATTGAGCTGGAGGCGGGTGGAGCCCCGGTGCTGCTGGGAGAGGAGAGAGGAGCATGCGGGTCATGTTTCTTGATTACTCTGCCGGGGTTTCGTTCTGTCAGAGTTCACAGAAATAAAATCATCATGACCTTTAGAGGAGGCACAAAACAAACCGCATCACCACAGGAAGGTCAGGTAGACATCACATCCAGGTTCTTCACTGTCATGTGCATCACGTGGTACATGAGGTGGAACAAAACGGTGTACTCAGGGTCCCAGACCCAAAAATGTAAAGTATGAAAAGAAACGGTATATAAGGATCTAAGATGCAACATTTTAATCATTATTATCATTATTATTATTATTATGTGCAGCGTTAGTTTCCTACTCACTGAGTCGTTTCACAAGATTTTGTTTCGAGCAGCAAGATGGAGCTAGGTTGTTGAGAGCTTTGTAGGTTAGAAATAAAATTTTGAATCCTATTCTGGATTTGACGGAGCCAATGGAGAGAAATTACAACTGGAGAGATATCCTGATGCATGCTCAATACTCCAGGTAGAAAAATCCCTAAAAGTTCAATCTGGTCCTCTGGACATTCAAAAAAAAAAAAAAAACAGCAAAAAAACAGAAACGTTTCGTCTCTCATCCTGAGGACTTCCTCAGTCTGAGGTGCTGTTTTCAGCTCAGTCTCTTAAATAGCACCTTCTCAGAGTGGATCAACCAGTTTTGCTGCTGACAACCAGAACCAGCTGCTCACATGCTCAAGAAGGACCATCAGCCTAACAATGGATCATTAGCACACTGATGGCTGTTTACTGTTCACAGAGGGCTGAGTGATACTAGCAATCACAGCATTGTAAGAGGGGGACAGTTGAACCTGGAGGCTCCACCCCTGTTTAATGATGGACGGTTTCTTTTCACAAAGATGGCCTCCTTTATATTCTGTACCACA